TTGAAGCCGAGCCACTCCCGGAGAACACCAACCGGCAACTGCTGCTGCAGTTTGAGCGGCTGGTGGTGCTGGACTACATCATCAGGAACACAGGTAGGGGCGGCTGCCTGGCATGGGACGCTGACTGTGCCTTCACTTCCTGCCAGCTGGAGAAAGGAGAGGGGAGCCAGGGCTTGGCATCTCTTCCCAGCACCCAAAACTTCTCTCAACACCACTTGATTGCTGCCAGGTAGAGTGCAGCTGCTGTGGCTGCCTACCACTTTGGCCATGCTCTGGCTGCTGCCCTGCATTCTGGGAGATCTGGATCCACCATGGTGCTGGGGTGGAAGTTTGCCAGCTGCAAGGGTCCAGGGACATCCAGAGATCCAGCACCTGACTGTGCCCCTGTATTCCGTCTCACGCTGGGCTTCTGAGTTCCTGCCAGGCTGGAAGGGGTCCGGGGTAGCACTCTGGGGCTTGCAGGCTGACCTTTCTCTTGTGAGCTGGGGCTATGTGGACCTCTCCAGTCTCCAGGGCTGGTTCTGTTGGGGTTGATGTGGCTTCCCAGGCCTGCAGCAAGCTTGAGGGCTCTGGGGTAGAGTTTGGGCCTAAAACTGGTCTGTCTCACTTCTGGGTCAGAGGAGGAGTAATCTGCCAGGCGTGGGGCAGGCAGGCCTGGCACTGACACAGCTGGTTTTATCTACCTGCAGATCGGGGCAACGACAACTGGCTCATCAAGTATGACTGTCCCCTGGACAGCGCGGGTGTGCGGGTGAGTGGCTCATCCCTGGCAGAGCCTCCATGGGAGGCTCTGCTCCTGCAAGCTGCTGGCCTGGCCGATGGGCTGGGAATTTCCCAGCTGTCTTGGGTTTCCGAGCATGTGGAGGCCTGATCTTGTCTCCTGGGCCTTTCATTGCCCTGTGTGTTAGTGGTTTGTGGCCTAGTGGGACTTTGTGAGGATACAGCTAGGCCTGTGGGGGAAACTGGTATTGCTGGACCTGTGCATCCTTGGGGTGAAGCCTGGGAGGGGCAGCAGCTTTGTCCCGCTCTCACCTAAAGCAGACAGTGTTTCCCTTTGGGCAAGGGACGATGCTACGGGCAAGAGGCTGCTGTGCCTCTGTGGTAGCCAGGGCAAAGATCCTGGTAGCAGGGCTGCAGGGAGTGGGAGGGGGACTGTTCCTGCTGGGGGGGCTTCCTTGTGACATGCTCTGCTTTCTTCCAGGACAGCGACTGGGTGGTGGTGAAGGAGCCCATCATTAAGCTGGCTGCTATAGACAATGGTTTGGCCTTTCCCTTGAAACACCCGGACTCCTGGAGAGCATGTGAGTCCCTCAGGCTGTGCCAGGGCAGCCTGGCAAGCCATACAACTCTGTGCTCAGGCATCCTCCTCAAGGGCTGGAGAGGAGAGGGCTAGGGCTGTCCCTCTGCAAACCTTCTGGGTTCATGGGCAGCTCTGCCTCAGCAGAGACTGTAGGAAGCGGGTGCTGGACCCTGTGTCCCAGATGCAGATGATCTGGCACCCAGGGACATGTGGCACCGTCCTTTGCCTTCCCCAGCTCTAATGTCTCCTGCTTCCTCCCACAGATCCATTCTACTGGGCATGGCTGCCCCAAGCCAAAATCCCCTTTTCACAGGAGATCAAGGACCTGATTCTTCCCAAGATCTCAGACCCCAACTTTGTCAAGGACTTGGAGGAAGATCTGTATGAGCTCTTCAAGGTGAGCTGGGGGAGCAGGTGAGGATGGCTTGGGAGGAAAAGAAGTGGGGGTGGTGTTGGGGAGCTCCCTGTCAAGGCTGCAGGGGACAGAAAGGTGGCCAAGCTGCTGACAGTGTTTCTGGGCTGAGGCGTAGAAGGATTATCCCTCTGCCAGGAGCTGAAGATTCAGTGTGGGGAGGAGCAGGAAACCTGTGGGACAGGAGGAGAGAGGCTTGCTTGGGGAATAGGCATCTTTTGCACAGCATGGGGCAGGTGGATCCCACTGTGTTCTCTGCTCTCTCTCTTGCAGAAAGACCCTGGCTTTGACAGGGGTCAGTTTCACAAGCAGATTGCTGTCATGAGAGGCCAGGTAAGCTGTGTGTAGGGAAGGCAGATGGGTGAGGCATGGAGCCTCGTCCTGCCTGTGTGGCAGGAAGGGTGCTGGGTTGGATGCTTTCTGTTGCTCCGGCATGGCAGCTCAGGCATTGCTCTGTTGTGCTGTACAGATCCTGAACCTGACTCAGGCGCTGAAAGATGGGAAGAGCCCCCTGCACCTGGTTCAGATGCCACCTGTGATTGTGGAAACAGCACGTTCCCACCAGCGCACCGCCAGCGAGTCCTACACGCAGAGCTTCCAGAGCCGGAAGCCTTTCTTCTCATGGTGGTAGCTGTGGGAGCTGTGGGCAGGGCTTGGCCGCCTTGGACTAGCGCTGCGAGAGGAGCCGGGCCACCGCTGGCTCCTGTGGCTGGGACTCGATCTTCTGGGTAGAGCAAACAGGTGCGGCTGGAGGAACCTGCAGCTGAACTGGAGGAGCCAGGCAGGTCGGGCATGGTCCCTCCCCAGCTCCATCGGAGCTCAGTGCCCTGCCTGGGGCAGAGCCCAGGGGGAGGTGTGGGAATCCGCTGGGAGCCGTGGCGTGGCTGGGACCCTGCCCCTGCCTCCCTTCCTCAGCCTGCATGTGGTTCTGAGCACCCCTGCTTGGGGCTGGAATGAGCAGGCTGTGCAGGCCAGGATCCGTCCAGCCCTTTACACCAGCCACTGGCCCTTTTCACCGCCGTGCCGGCTGCCAGGCTGGGAAGGCCTGTAGTGGGTTATACCCCCTCCTTTTCCCCGAGGGTGTGCTGTATTTCTCCACTGTCCCTCCTCTGCCCCAACCCCGTGCACGCTGCTTTCCTCAGGGGGAGTTCCTGCTGCCCACTGGTGCAGCGGGAACCACAATGAACGGCTGTTCTCTGGCTGGGGGCTCGAGGAGGGGACATATGAGGGACAACTCACGGGGCTGGCTTGGGCGCAGTTAGACACTAAGGGGAAAGAGGTGCTGGCTTGTCCTTGTGAAGAGCAGGTGGCTCTGGGAGGGGCTGTAGCTTAGTGCTGCCCCCCTTGTCGTGGGAGCCCCCCCAGCTGGAGAGGGCTGAGGGTGGGTGCGAGCACCCTCTCCCCCTCTGCTGCCCCAGTCCATCTCTCCTGCCAGGTTTCCACAACTGCTCTTGCTTGGCTTTTGCCCCTGCTCCCAGCAAGCTTCCTGGCTGCTGTGCAGCCGGCATGGTGCCAGCCTTGTCTGTGCCTAGGGCCCCCTTGAGTGGCAGGGGGCTGCCGGGGCAGGGGAAGGGCCAGAGGGGCTCTTCTGCTGCATGGGTGGGAGGCGTGATGGGAGCACGGGGGGGCCAGCATGGGTTCCTGGCTGCCCTGGTGCTGACAATCCCGCAGGCCTGCTGTGGGTGGGTGAGGCAGCAAGCCCCTTTCTCCCCAGAACAGAAGCTGCTGGGCTTGTGTTGTCTAAAATGGTACCAGGGCTGCTGCCTGCATCTGCTTGCCTTGGGCTGCGGCTTCTGCTGCTGGGGGAAGCTGGTGCTGGGTCTCACTGTCCTGTTAGCCTATCTTTGGGGGGTGGGGGGAATGAAGGCAGGTTGGGGCTCTGCTGCTTGAGCCTGGGAGGGGAGAGCAGCTCCCTTGTCTCCTGTGTGGAGATGGGGCTTGGCACTGGCTGTGCAAGCACAGGGTGGGCAGCAGTGAGACCCCCCCCCAGCTCCCTGGCCAGGCCCAGCTGCATCTCCAACTGACCCAAAAATGTATTGTTCTAATGCACTGTAGAAATGTATGTAATGTATTTAAACCATGCAACTGTCTGAATAACAGAGCTGCCATTCAGCACGCTGCCTCTGTGTCTTCGCAGCACCCTATCCCCTCGCACCGGATCCAGTACAAGGTCCTGTCCCCTGGGGGCAAGGCCCAGGGTTGGCAGGACACAGCCAGAGACTCACGCAGTGACCACTGTCCACCTTTTATTAACCGTTGCACCCTGTCCCGTAGGCTTCGGGTCCTTGGAGAGCCTGGCTGTCCCGGCACCTGCTGTCCAGCAGCCCTGCTCCTCCACGGCCCGGTTGCTCAGCACTGCTGCGTGGACCCCAAGCGTGCTTCGGCCCCGCGGCCGCCCTCCGGCTCCTCCACGATCCTGCAGGGGGAGAGGCGCGTGTTAGCTTCCCTCGTCCCGTCCCCGCCCTGCTTCCCCTGCTGCCCCGGCCCGCACCTACCGCAGGCGGCCGAACCGCCGCAGCGCCGCCATCCCGC